CTTCTTTGTCTCTCTTAATCAATGTTGGCTTGAAATACACTTTGTCTACAAATAGAATAGCTACCCCTGCTTTTTTCTGCGTTTCTGTCACATGGAGTATTGTTTTCCATCTTTCGTCTTTCAGTCTGTGAATTTCTTTTTGAATTAAATGTGTTTCTTGTATGCAGCATATTGCTGGATCTGTCTTCTTGATCCATCTTGGCAGTCTGTGTCTTTTGATTGGTGAGTTTTGACCATTAACATTGATGGTTACAACTGGTATGTATTGACTTACCCTTGCCATGTTATTTTCCTGGTTTTGGCTCCACCCCCCCCCCCCGCCTCTGTTCACAAGAACCAAGGAAACTAACACATCCATCTAACAGGGTGAGTAGTTAAAATTAAGCATCAGCATCAGAAAATGCAATGACAAGAGTCAGTAAATTCCTTAAAATAATGGCTTTCAATGTCTGTGGTCCTAGCTCCCCCATTAGAGACACACACTGGCAGAGTGGTGTAAAAGGCAAACTCCAATTGTATATGCCTGCAAGAAGCACACCTTATTCACAAACAAAAGTGCACAGACTGAAGGCACAACAATGGAAAACAATAATTCATGCAGAGGGTTAAAAATGATGGGGTGAAGACTGACTGCAAAGTATAGCCTCTCCAGGACCTGGAATCGAGACACCTGGAAAATAACTTAGTGAAGAAAAAAGAAAACAGAACTCAGGGAATCAAGAAAGACTGGGAAACTAGATACTACAGGAAAAGTGAAGACAAAGCAGAGAAAAGAAGGAAACATCGTGGGACACTGACCCTAGATCCTGGGGAAGGGGACTGACCTGTCTCCACAGCACAAGGGCAAACACAACTGAGCTGCATCCCCAGACCCTTTTTATTTTATATTTTGAGACAGGGTCTCCCTAAGTCACTGAGTTGCTGAGCCTGGGCTCAAACTTGTGAACTTGCCACCTTCCTGACCCAGCCTCCCAATGTCCTCGGATTCCAGGCATGCACTACCAGTCGCCTTCCTTTCATGCAATTTTAAATATCATTTCATATATATGTATGCATGTATATATGCATACATGGATGCATATATACATCCATGTTTGAAGGAATATTTGAAGTATAATTTTCACATATTTGCAGGGCTTTTTGATATGTAGTTAATAGGTGTGATCTACATAATCGTAGTTCGCTGAAAGTGATTAACAAAGAGTCTAGAATAGACCAGTACTCCAGTGACTAGATCCTGTGTTTGATGATGCCAGTTCATGGTGATATTCTGCATTCTTTCTCATTTTTCCGTTCTTCACCTTTTAAATTATGAAGATGACATATTATATTCTTTTCTGTGATATTGATTTGTCAGTTTTTCCTTGTGGTAGTTTTAAGTTTTGCTTCTTTTTTTTTGAAAGTTACTTTAAAAAACAACTTCAAAAAAAGAAAGTTACTTAATAGATGCACTCATTTAGAATTATTAAATTTTCTTTCTGATTTCACTTTTATAAATATGTAATAGTCGTAAGTATATAGTGATAATTTATCCCTTAAAATATTTTATTGGTTATTAATAGAGTCCTGTCTATTTTCATTTGATTAGCACTATTTTTGTATAGTCTCATCTTTTTTAAAAACTATATTTCAATTAATATGCCTTCCTTTCTACATGTATCTCAGTTCAGAGATCTTACAATGTAAGAAATGACTTGACAGCAATAGTAAGATGTCATCAGTTGCAAGGTATACCTTGATTTTAGATATGTTAATATGTATAAAAATGTACACCAGGAGTTTATGAAATACAGTGCTTTCAACCTTACTGTGTTCTTATATTTTAAGTATGTTTTTAAAAACGATAATACTTGAAAATTTTAAAATCTGTTCTAATATGCTTTGCTTTTTAACTGAGGTGTAGGATATTTATTGTATTTATACTGATAGCAACTGCATTTTTTGCTGTTTATCCTTACTAATTTGCATTTCTTTTTTTCATTGCCTCTCTCTTCTTTCTTGCCTTTTCTTGATTGCATTCCTCTGCTTGTTTAGAAGTTCTACATTCCACTTCTTGCACTATTGCACCATTATTTCTAATGTGCAAGTCTAACTAAAATTTAAGTGTCGGGGCTGGGGATTTAGCTCAGCGGCATAGCGCCTGCCTGGCAAGTGCAAGGTCATGAGTCCGATTCTCGGTACCAGAAAAGAAATAAAATTTAAGTGTCTAAAGTTAGCGTCTAAACCATTGATCCAAATAAATGAGGATAGTGCACTGTTGAGCTCTATACATATCTTTTTTGACCTTTGCTTTTGCTGTGTAGAATTTAGGTGTGTTGTTGATTTACATAAAATTTGTACAAAGTAGGCATCAGTGTTACTGTTGAAAACCCTAAATCAGACTATGCCTAATCAGCATACTTTCCTCTGATTATTAGCTCTTTTCTCATTTTTTCAGCTTAATCAATGCTCCTCTGCCATATTGATGTCATACAGAATTTAAAATGTGGATTTTAATGGATATTCTCTGTGTTGTACCTCTGCCTCTTCTCTTCCTCGCAGTAGTAAATGCTTAGGAATAACTGGTTCTTCTCAACTTATCTCCTCCATATCGAAGCTGAGCTGACATTAAACCCTACCCTGTTATACCCACTGCCGTTAGCAGGTAGTGCTATGTTTCTGTCTCATTGTTAGAAACTGGACAGATAGTAACCCACCTGGAGCAGTGAAAAGAACCCAGCTAGAGAGCAGTTACCAGCACCTTTGGAGTTCTCACGGTTTTTATGTTAATTTTTTAGATCTGTAAATCTTGAACATAGCATCTCTAGGCATGGTTTTGTGAGCTGGAGTTAGCAGTCCATGCTAGCCAGTTATTATTTTGTTGTTTCAGAAAACTAATGTCTTTTGCTGCTAAATATTTTGGAGTTTGCTTACCAGTAGCTTACAAATACTGTATAGAAATGTTAATTTAAGAATTAAATTGGCTCGTGTTGTTTACTTTCTTTTTTCACCTTTGACCTTCCCAGTTCTGATAGTATCAGCAGTGATGAGGAGGAGCTCAGGACGTTAGGAAGCAGTGGCAGTGAAAGCAGCACCCCAGAGAATGTGGGGCCCCCCTTCATCATGGACGACAACAGCTGGTTCAACAAGTGTAAGAGAGTGAGACAGAAGTACCAGCTTACCCTCGAGCAGAAGGTATTTATCAGTTGTCCAGACTTCTCTGACTGTACTTATTGTGTTGCAGTGTCACTGACAAAATGTGTGCGCATGCGCCTTTGTGTGGTACTGGGGATTGAACCCAGGACCTTCACACTGAGCTATATC